ATAATTGTTTTACAATTCAAAAAATAACAACTGCCATGTATCCACGTGCTTGCTGTATGTGAGAGAAATCAATAGGCAATTTAATAAGCTCTTTGAAATTAATTCTCAGCAGTACTGCAACATTTAATTTAGAAGTCTCATCAATGGGGAGGATTTTCAGTTTAAATGTGAGTTTTTAGGCTATGATGTGAAGAGTCAACAAATGTTTTTTTTGGATAGACTTATGACACTTTATTATGCCAGGTCTCAGTGATGAGGCCACAGCTGGAGAAGAGAAAGAGTGGAATAAGAAGAAAATGAGCTGAGGGGACAAGACTCCTGTTTTTGTTTTGTGGGTTAAGTGTCAATAACCATGGACTAGATGGGGTTATGAAGAGGTGGTCTTTGGTCTGTAGGTGTTGGTCGACTCTGATGGTGAACACATGGACATATTAAAAACATCATTAAGGACGAATAATACTTGATGAACAGCTAAAAGGTTTGGTTAATAAATAAAATAAGGAATTCTTATATTTTATTTTACAGTAATTTAGAGTTCACCATCGGCTGGAGTTAGCCCTCATTTTTTCCATTAGAAAAAGTAAATATGAAAACAGCATGGCTCCAGAAAGCTAGGTGGTTTGTGGTGGGCATACAGCTCCTGTAATCTAAAGTCGTCTTTCATTTTCTGTCACTCCTGTTCCTCCTTGTCCCCGTAGGCTGCTGCTACCAAAGTGTGCCATGTTCTACCCATCTCTGTACCTGTAAGTTTGCATTTTCCATATTATTCTTCAGCATTTGTTGTAGAATTAGAACAAGCATAACACCCCCTCACCTACTTAGACCATGTACATCTGCAGAGCAGAACAGCTTAAAACCCCATGGGGAATCTCTGGATTCCCTGTGGCCGATTTAACTTGGTAAAGCACAGGAGCATCTGAATTTCCATTACTTTATTGGTGTACCTCATTAACGATATAGCTTAATTTGCATATCAGTAGTACCTTTTCACCACAGGTGAGAAATTGAAATGTTCAAGGTCAATTAACTGCGAATGTTTCAAGTCCGGGTAGTACAGCTGTAACAGTGAGCGGTGCTGGGAAGAGGGAGCCGTCAGTGAGAGGTGCCTCTTTCTCCTGATGAGAATTGATGATCCAGTTTTAACTCACCAGAGTCATGCTGGTTCTTTTTTCCTCACTGTGCTCCACTCATGTGTTCACTATTTAAATACTGGTCTATCAAGGAGTGTCAAAATGCTAGAGAAAGATTATAAAATTCTGTATTAAAAAGTGTACAGACTGTTGAAATTAACTAGAAAGAGCAAGACACAAAACAATCAGCATTTTCCCAGAGGTATAAGCTGATAGAGATAAAATTCCTAATGTTGAAATGTCAGGTTGAGATGATGGCCAGCTGGGGGCACTTCATCCACTCTTTTCCAACTTTTCTGTGTTAAAAAAAATGATAAAAATACAAAGATTATGCAGTTGTAGTAGTAAGAGGACTGAGGATGCTTGGTAATCATCAGACCTCAGGAGACCGTCAACTTCCAAACTTGGATAGATCCTGAGGATGATTGGTAAGATTAGAGAGGCAGTGGAGGGAAATAGTTACCCATTTGCCACTCCCATCCTGTGTCTGTACTTGAAAGACGTGGTCTTCGTTAACTTGTGGGAGGAAAGTTGGCTCTGCTGCCTGATAGCTAAATTCTAGGCTTCCCTTACCTCTATCAGCTCCATCCTTTCTACATCCATTGGGAACTACCGATTCCATTTATCCTAATGATATGAGAGGCAATGCTGGTCCTGGTCAAGAGTACTGGGCCTTTTGCTGCCCTGCAGACTACAGCAAAGTATTCAGACTCTCCGTGTATGACTTATCCTCTGTTCAGTGGGCTGCTTTGAGAATCAAATAACAATGCCTTCACACTGTGCCTGACACAAAGTCCTCACTTGCTCAATAAATATTAAGTAATACCACAATAGGATAAGTGGAAAAGGTAGGATGGGGTTTCATTACATCCCGAGAAGTGGAATACGAAGGAAAAGTTGGCTTAGTTTTAAAAATAGTGCTGTGGGAACAGGTCCCACTGAGGGTTCAGGAATTTCCTGAGCTATTTTGTGGGAGCGTACTATTAAAGATGTTCTTCAGATCATTCAAGAATAAATTCTCTTCCATGTAGATAACAGGATGCAGGAGTAGGGGTGCCCCTTGTGGACAGCAGAGCTGTGCTGGATAAATGACACCCAGACACCAAAAATGCAGCTGGAGCCCATGTCTACCAACAAGCCCTCTTGCTCAAAATATGAGAATATTCTCCTCTAACCTAAACATTGTATCGGGTATTGGTGACCGAATTAACTAGAAAGAGCAAGACACAAAACAATCAGCATTCTCCCAGAGGTATAAGCTGATAGAGATAAAATTCCTAATGTTGAAACTCCACCCATCCAGGCTACTGGGCAAAACCACAGGGTCTTCAAGAGCAGATACAGAGAAAATTAAAAGTAAACACAAACCAACAAGAATTGCAGAATGTATAAATATTTTGGATCAGAGAGAGAGAGAGCGCATTACACTTTTGATGTATGGAGTGGAAGACACTTTTTGAACAATGATTTATTCCAAGAAAAAAGGAAATTTGAGAAAAAAAGTGTCTAGTTCTAAAGACAATGTAGTGAGTAACTTGGGAATCATACCCTAATACAAGCAGGAGTTAGTTATTATACCATCGAGAGAGGATGTTGTTGTCATGTAATTCTTTTTTAAAATGCTGTATTGACTCAGTTTTGAGGCCCTGACAGGAGGATGGTCAGTTCCCGTTCGTGAGCAGCTGATCATATCCACAACCCGACCACTTCCCTTGTTGGGCTCATACCCTCTGTGGCTACCGTGCCTCAACCGTAGTCACCCTGGGGCTAAGTACCAGACAATTAGGGACAAGCCTGTGTCCCGGAACCTCTTCACATTCGTCCACAAGGAGCCTACAGAGCCTCTCGAACTGTACCCCACTTGCCATATATAAGCTGACCCCACAGCTCCAAGTTGTTGTCACCCTTTCTGAGGGTGCATCTCACTGCATGCCCCTGCCTGGCAGGCTTCTCTTCTTTGGAGCTGTTGAAGAGTTCTGCTTTTCCTCTCTCAGAGAGTCATTGTATTCTATCAGCCATCAAAAGAATTTTTAAATCTTACAAACAATTGTTAACACAGATATGTCTCTTTAGGTTCCACAGTGGTACGTACCACACCATAATAGCAAACATTTATTGGGCATCTCTTTGCATTAGGGCCTGTACTCAATGTTTAATGAAACAGGGCATGGATGGCAGGAATAATGCTTGAATAAAAACAGTATATAAATTGTAATCTTCTATTTTTTTTTGTATAATTCTTTTAAAAATATTTTTTATTATTATGTTCAATTAGCCAACATATAGTACATCATTAGCTTTTGATGTAGTGTTCAACAATTCATTAGTTGCATAATACACCCAGTGCTCATCCCCACACGTGCCCTCCTTCATACTCATCACCTGGTTACCCCATCCGCCCACCTCCCTCCCTTCTGTAACCCTCAGTTTATTTCCCAGAGTCCAGAGTCTCTCATGGTTTGTCTCCCTCTCTGATTTCTTTCCATTCAGTTTTCCCTCCCTTCCCCTGTGGTCCTCCGTGCTATTCCTTAGTTCCACATATGAGTGAAAACATATGATAATTGTCTTTCTCTGCTTGACTTACTTCACTAAGGTAATCTTTTATTTAAATGTTAGACCTTATATCAGAGCCTTAAGGTGGGTGACAAAAGAATGGGGGAAAGAAAACATGTGCTAATATTCTTATCTGGGGTGTTATGTAATAGATGTTGCATTTTAATAGATATTGAATATTAGATAATTATGGATTTAAGAAGGTGTTAAACTGTATTTCATGACTTTTACAATGATTACATGTTACTTATATAATTATCAATGTCAATATTAGTTAAAATAAATAAATTCCCCAAATACGGCATTATTGTATTAAACTGGAAGAATGAAATATCTTAAGACATACAGTAGTCACATCTGTAATATTTCTGGTGTGCAGTGAATAAAAGAAAACATGATAAGTTCTGCTCTAACTGTACATCCTTGAATATACAGTAGATTCTTATTTTTCACTCTTGAGTGCTCCAGCACACCTTACTCTCTGATCTTTTCCCTGATAGTCCCTCCCCCATCTCTCACCCATCACCCCATTCCCCGGACAGGATAGAACCAGCCAGTGGTGTATTGGTGAATTGGCTGGGCTGGGAGTGGGGGCTGATTTGTAGAGTTTGCCAATTTCTGTCCCACCATGGCCAGTTGCGAACATGGCTATATTTAACAATCAGCTTGCAAAATTCCTGAAAATTTAATTGCCTCTCATCCACTGTTGCCAGCCAGGTCCAGCCTTCCACTGGATAGAACACTCCTCCATCATCTATTGTATTATTGTTCTCTGCACCTGCCTCACCATTAACATTTGTGCTTTACACATGCTTCTCAATGTCTGTTATTCCCATAAGACTGTAAACACAGTGAGGATAGGGACTGTGCCTTGACCATCTGTATTCTCAGGCTTGATGCTGTACTTTTTCTCCAGGAAGTCTGAACATGATTAGATACCAAAGGTAGTTTTCTAGTTCCACCACAGTGTGAACCACGATTGAAGGTTAAAGCATTTTACCTAATCACGTGTGGGCAGTAAACCCGCTAGTTCCACCTGTCAAATTAAGCACTTTAAACATTCGATAAGATCCTTGGTTCTCCCCAGTGTCAAGAAGTTATAATACCTAGAAATGAACATAATTAACACAGGCTTCATCCTTTTATACTAAATTCTTGTTTTTCTATATTATTCTACAATTATGAGAAGTTTCATATTTGGAAATTTGACTTTATTAAACTCCATCCAGGAATACAGTCTTACTGGCATCTCTAGTCCACTAACAGATTTTTAACTAATCTTTTGCCCATTTTCTTCTGTTTCTATTTGCATGAAAGGAGCTGGTGGCTGGTCTCCACTTGTGTCAAACAAATACCAGTGGTTGCAGATTGACCTTGGAGAGAGAATGGAGACCACTGCTGTGGCCACCCAGGGGGGATATGGGAGCTCCAACTGGGTGACCAGCTACCTCCTGATGTTCAGTGACAGTGGCAGGAACTGGAAACAGTATCGACAAGAAGACAGCATCTGGGTATGTTTCTTTGACAGAATACATAGTCTCTCAGGAAAAGAGAGTCGTCCCTGCATGTTGTTTATGAATTTCCTAAACTAAGTTGAGAAACAAAATTTTTGGAATTATTTAGGAAACATTTTTCAAGAAAAAATATGTTAATATTTATTTCTAATACATTTCATGGTATAACTTACAAAAACACTAAAGGTAAATTTATCTCAGAGACCTCAGAAATTGGGAAAAAAAATCTTATTTGTCCATTACAGAGTGTGGAAGTCTAAGAAATAATCAAAACTTGTAAATTTTTTTTAAGCTTTGTCCAATAACACAGTGGTTTTGCATGGTCTTCATTTAAAGCTTGGTTAAAAGAATTTGTTCCTTTTATTCCCTCTGATGACTCAGAGATTTCTGAACATCTCCCTCTCTCTCTAGTATATGGAGGTTTATATATATATTTGGAGTATTTATGTATGATATATATATACACACACATATATACATATATATAATTTGTATATAAACCATTCTCTGTTCTTTTAAAAGTACATAAGTGTGTAAAATGCTTTGTGTTATGGGCAGGGGCATGGCTTCTATAGGAGACTGACAAGGAGGCAGTTTATAATAGAGTGGGGTGGTATTTGTAGTTGGTTGATTGTATATGAACACCTGGTGGAAGAAGGGAGCTATAGGCAATTTGCTTGGTGGTGAAGAAAGGACTTCTTTGCTAGGAGAAGGGTATTGGTTTGGATCTTACGTGGGCCAGGGACAACATACTGCAGTCAAAGAACTTTCTTTTTTTTTTTTCCTCTGGCTGAGTTGCTGGAACCAGAGAAAATGAGTGACTTAATGAAGCATCATTCTTAGCACACAGATAATTTGGAAGCCTATTTGGGCACATAATGATAATTTTCTTTGATCAGTCAATTGCCTCTCTTTTGAAAGTTCCTAGAACTCGGTATACATTATCAACTCATGGAAGAAATGGACTGTGATTTACTCACCTTTGTATTTCTAACGCACTTGGTGGCCATTTGACGCATGTTTATTGATGTAAATTGAATTGAGAAGAAGTAGCCCTGCTCTTTCTCTAGAGAGAACAAAAGTCAGGCTGGAAGAAGTGGCCTATAAGCATTTTTAAGAAAAGCTGCCTTAAAATCCAAAGCAAGCTGAAGTGTAGAAGAGCGAGAAAAACTGGATATTACGGTTGAATTAATTTCATGAGAATCATTCAAACTAGGGACAAAATAAACAGTAATTATGAACCAATAACAATGAAAGCTTAATGAGGTATTTATTTTAACTAGGTGTTTGGATTATCTTTTACTCTTTTTCTAAATTAAGCATTGGATTTTAAACTAGATAAGTAGAGGCTAATTCATGGTAATATTTAGTTGTGTTAAGTAAAACGTACGTTTTTGACATGTCTTAAAATGATGGATCAACCATGAAAATTGTTTCTCTGTTCATTAAGCTTGGGGAAAGCCAAACCTAGACCACGCCATTTGCCTTTTTTGTTTACTCTTATTAAAGGTGAGGTGCTCAGATCCTGGGGTGCCTGGGTGACTCAGTCAGTTAAGTGTCCAGCTCTTGGTTTAGGCTCAGGTCATGATCTCATGGGTCATGAGATTGGGTCCCACATCACGCTCCACGCTTAGTTCGGAGTCTGCTTGAGATTCTCTCCCTCTGCCCCTCCCCCCACTAGCTTGCACGCACTCTCTCTCTTTGTTTCTCTCTCTCTCAAATAAACAAATTTTAAAAAAAGATGACGTACTCAGGGTGAAATAGAGGCATAATGATATCCCTAACTAATCCAAACCAATCAATGTGAAGACAGATGGCATCTATCACAATTAATTGTCAGGGTAATGCTATTTTTTAGACTGTGCTATAATTTGTTGGTTTACTCACTTTCTTCCTCTCTTGAGTGTGAACGCCCTGAAAATAGAGGCTGTACCTTCCATCCTTTCATCTCAGCATCCCAAATCTTAAGAGTTCCCGGCATGTTAAACCATAAGAGACTCTTAACTATAGGAAGCAAACTGAGGGTTGCTGGAGGGGAGGTGGGTGGGGGGATGGGGTAACTGGGTGATGGGCATTAAGGAGGGCACTTGATGTAATGAGCATTGGGTTGTTATATGCAACTGACCAATCGCTAAATTCTACCCCTGAAATTTAATAATATACTATATGTTAACTAAATTGAATTTAAATTAAAAAAAAAAAAGAGTTCCTGGCATGTTGCAGGCAAATACTAAATGTTTGTTGAATGAATGAATGAGGGAATGAATAAATGAGTGAATGAAAACAGTGCACTTTATTGTAGCGACTCCTTCCTCCCATGATCAGCTCTGCCTTTTAGTGCACTTATGTATACCGGTTTAATATATTTAGAGTTAGGATGGTACATTTCTCTCTCCCTTATAAATTTTGAACTTTTTTATGGGAGAGGGTTTATCTTTTTCATCTTTGCATTTCCAGCATTCAGTACCTAGTGTGGCACATGGCTTTTGTTGAGTGTATTACAGAAAAAAATCAATGAATGAATAGATTTGAATACATTGATCACCTAATCTGGGTCTAACTTTATAAAAATAATTCTGGGAGGTATTGAAAGAGCTCATGTTAATGTCATCAAAGAGATAAAACACGTCAGAACAAACCAAAAAATGATTCAGAAAAGCATGCAAATATGGGGTACAGACTTCTAGAGATTTGGAAATTGGTGGAATATACAGATCATTGTAGACTGACTTTGTCAAAAAAAGCTGGGCTCACATGAGTATTGAAAAAAGCATGGTAACTTAGATTATGTAAGGATTAAGGAAGCTTCTACCATATAGCTAGAAAAGGGTGAACAAAAGCATAGACATTGGAGATATCCAGAGATACAGTATCCCATGTAATAATCAGTGAGTCTACTGGTTAGAATGGACTGTCAAGTTCGGGAAGGGCTGAATGATATTTTTGGTTATGGTAAAGAAAATTGATGGATAACCCTGAATGTCAAGATCAAAATTAGGACTTGGTGCAACAGGTACCATGAGTACACATGAGACAGGTGAAGTTATGGGTACACATGAGACAGGTGAAGTTATGGGTACACATGAGACAGGTGAAGTTAAGGTGTAGGTAAAACAACCCCAATCCCATACCACATACATACCTTCATGCTACCTGTTCATCCCGGGTAGGCTGCAAAGTTCTCTTCTACTCTAGTGACTCAGGTGCCCCTCTAAGGGAAACTCCCTCTCTGTGAGTCTGTGATTGCCAAAGCAGGAGAAATGCAACATGGTGAATTGCACCCAGTTCTTGACAGTTCACCTGGAATAACACAGACCACTTCAGTTTGGGTTGTTTTTTAGCCAAAGTACAATTTTTAATTGATGTACATAGTAAGGAATTTAACCCTTTGTTGTACTTTACAAATATATAATTCCCAAATTCTTTTTCTTTATTTGGTATGTTTTTGCCCATTTTTTAAAAGATACTCTAGGTTGTATACAGACTATACAGAACATGCCAGTTTTCTTTAAGAGCTTCACATTCTGCCCCAGATGATAGAAATAAATCCATGAAAGAGAGTTAGGAAACACATAAGCCATTATACAAGTGTGTGATGGAAAGAGGAAGAAAAGACAATTGTGAATTTAGAAACAAAGAAAATAAAACCCATCAACTTGGATTGAAATGCTGCTGTGGGGATCCTCACTCTCCCTTCATTTGATCCCGCCTCAAGCACTGGGGACAACAATGATTTATGTACACCTGAAAGAATTAATAAAATGTCCTGCTGCTTCTTACAAATAATCTTTAAAAAGAAAGACAAAATATTTTATTTATTATCTATACAGTTCATGCACATACTTAATAGAACTGTAAACTTGACAGATATATGGTAGTTTGTAAAATTACGCACTAAAACATTTCTTTAGAAAAAATTTATAGTCCAAGCTCATAAATGTAATTTATATGAAATATTCTAGTAGATGGCATATAAATATTTCACAAAAAATTAGAAAATGCAAGCCACTAAAATTGTTCCTCTCAAATTGAAGATAAATAAAATCCCTCAACATCTATGATCAAAAGACTTTTCAGCCAGTTTATTGTGATTGAAAAAGTGATTGAAATGTAAGGTGTAATTTTCACTCATTTAAGAACAATTGCTGAATATCATGAAAGTAACATCTTAGAAACTATTTTAAATAGATCAGCATGTGCAGGAACTTTATAGCTAAATTATCCAAATTGTCTCTTATACATGCCCAAGGTTCTTTTACACTGCAGGCTATACAGGCAAAGAATGGGATGGTATCAATTTTATGAATTATTTAGGTAAATATGATTGTTCTACACAGAATAGTTTGCTTTTTTTTATGGGTTTCATCCAAACAAAAAACCTTTAGCATATTTCTAAAGTCAGAGTAGTTTTATTTATTTTTTTTAATTAGACGTGTTTAATGTCATCTTTGGCTTGTGAATAATCTAGGGCCCCTGTGACATAGTAGTATGTTCACAAAATATTCACACCATTATCACTGTGAATGATTGAGTGGTCAACTCTCAAAGCCAGACAGGGCAGAAAGACTACCTGCAAAGATTTTAACATATATTTGTTTCAAATCAAATAAATACGTGACTGGGGGAGTTTGATAGAAAACCCGAGGAGGCAGGAATACAAGTGGGAGAGGTGCTATAAGCCTATTGGACTCCCTGCCTTGCAAGGTGCAGCTTTTCTAGCCCTTCCCCTCTGTTGAGCCCTTATTCTGGTGACTTAAGCCTACAAAAATCATTTGTGGTGATACAAAGGACAACAGTACTAATGCCATGTGTGTCAACATGTCAAGTCATAAAGCTTAATGCATCGTAAGCCTTGCCTCAGTCCTTGGACCAACGCCTAGAGAACGCTTTTTAAGCTCCATCTGCCTTTCAAGACGGCCTCAACTTCAATGCCAAGAAGACATTGTTAATGAAAGTTGTCTGTATCCTCAGGAAATCTCCTGTTTGTATTTCTGTTT